TTTAAGGGTGATGGACTGATTACATCGTCTTCAAGTCTCTTCTGCTTCTATCAACTTTTCTGTACTCGACTGAAGAAGCCTACTGTGTAGGCGAAACGTTTCGAAATAAAGATACCTAACTGTTGCATATGTGTCTTACCTAACAATGTTTTATGTTATTTATATTGTTTATTATGTCATATTAGATCAATTGTGATAGGCAAATAAGCTGTAGTGTTGAAATTAGCATAATAATAAAGCATATTCTCCTGCTTCATGAGACTGAGCTCATGGCAACCGACAGTGGCTTCAAAGCCACCTTATCTTTAATGGATAATGTACTGTGTAGGTGCTTTACATAATGAGAAGCATTTCTTTTATTCATTGGAACCATGGCTAGGGCTCAAAGTAAGCAGGTTAAAACAATAAATGGAGAAAAAGAAATTGGAATGACTCATGCAGCAAGTAGTGCCACCAAACAGTACCAGCAGGTTGGTGTGGCGACCCTGGAAATTTGAAATTATGCAAGCCAAAATTAGTGCCGAATAACTGATTGCCGGATTTGTGATGGCAGACCTGTATTACTACTACTGTTACTGATACCACAACTATAATTACTTTACCACTAATTTTACACATACTACTACTAATGCTACTGTTACTACTAGTTCTCTATGTTTACTCTTAATACTACTGCCACTGCTATAACTACTGTTTTAATAGTTTTACCATACTATTGCATATAATTTTACTTTAATTCTTACTATTATTGCTATAATTCCTATTACAACTATTGTTGTAAAGCTACTACTAATACTACTATTGCTGTACTACCACTCATGTTACTATACAATCTCTAATAAATATTTTTATTATAACCACAACTGCACTATCTCTACTTTACTTCAGTCTCTATTACTATTACTGTACAACAGCAACTAGTAATACTCTGCTAGTATTTATATTGCTACTGTATAACTACTGCAGTGCTATTATTACTGTACTCTTACAAGTATTTACTGTATTAATACTATGACTATACTTTTATTCTTATTGTATTTACTGTGTAAGGTAGCACTGCATGATCCTTATGGATTTAGTGCTAACTTATGATTATATTATTATTAGTAGTAGTAATATGTGTATAAGTAAAGGTTGGTCAGTCATCATTTTATAATTTTTGCAATGTTAACTTATTGTGCTGAAGACTGCTGCTTCCCACACAATGTTTCATTCATAAAAACTCCTTATTTACATTAATTATAGCCAATCACAGGGAGCTTAATGTAGGGCAGTATTTCCCTACTGGACTTATAATATAAGCCCCGCCAACTCCTTTGTTATGCTGTTTAAACTTTTCTCCTTCATGCAAATTTTTTCTTGCCCATATTTTTTAAAACTGACAAAATTTTTTATTATATATGAGTCAGAAAGAACAGACACAAGGGGAATTGTTACTAAACACCACAAATTATGTAGTTGAAATTCTGGCAGTAAAGATTGAAAATGAAAACCAAAATCTCATCATTGTGGCTGTATAATGTATACAAGCCACCCAAAAATTCAAAGAAGGAACAGCTGAAAACTGATTACTATCCGGAAAATCTCCTAACTCCAGCCCCAAATACGTATCTTGTTGCTAGGTGATTTCAACTTAAGCCACCTAAAGTGAAGGAACATGGCAAATAATATTTTAGCAGATAACCCCAGGAGGCAGCTCATATCAATATTCATGCACACATGGGCTAGTAAATCTCTGCAACAAATTCACCTTAAGCCAGTTAATAGTGGAGCCAACAAGACTGGATGGAAAATACACTAGACCTTATCTTCACTAATAATGATGATCTGGTACGAGATATAAGAGTATGAAATACAATGGTTTAGAAAGACATGTAAGCAAACACTATAACATATTATTAGAAAACGTTTCGGTCCTGGGACCTTGATCACTTCTAACATACAGAGGTAGAAAGACATTATATACATAGGTGGAGTGAGAGATGTGACACACGTGACGTGAGGAATGTCATAAGAACATAAGAATGGAGGAACACTGTAGAAGGCCTACTGGCCCATGCGAGGCAGGTCCTTATCAAAACAACCTCTACCTATGATGAGGACGAGTAGACGATGAAATCATGTGACTCCTGTGTTGTTGGGTTGGTGCTGCTTAAGTATCATGTATGCCAATGTTTTTGAAATTTTGTAGTTTCCAGTGTTGCGTTCTATAGTGTCGGTGACGGCGATTAGTGAGGCTTCTAGGCACCGTCGGCGTCTGAGGTCTGGTTCGGTGAGAACGAGTTGTGCCTCATTTGATGAACTGGAATGAGGCACAACTCGTTCTCACCGAACCAGACCTCAGACGCCGACGGTACCTAGAAGCCTCACTAATCGCCATCACCGACACTATAGAACGCAACACTGGAAACTACAAAATTTCAAAAACATTGGCATACATGATACTTAAGCAGCACCAACCCAACAACACAGGAGTCACATGATTTCATCGTCTACCCGTCCTCATCATAGGTAGAGGTTGTTTTGATAAGGACCTGCCTCGCATGGGCCAGTAGGCCTTCTACAGTGTTCCTCCATTCTTATGTTCTTATGACATTCCTCAGGTCACGTGCGTCACATCTCACTCTCCGCCTATATATATAATGTCTTTCTACCTCTGTATGTTAGAAGTGATTAAGGTCCCAGGACCGAAACATTTCCTAATAATATGTTATAGTGTTTGCTTAAGTGTCTTTCTAAACCAACTTGTCGGTATTTATTACCAAGGTTTATACCATGAAATACAATACACTCAGATCACAACATAATAGAACTATAGACATGTATGTGCAGGGCTCCTGACCAGCAAAATGAGATCAGTTATGAGGATGCCTTTCACCAACAGTAACTACAACAAATAGTTACAATACAGATAGACAGATCTACTGTTAAGGTGCTTATTAGAAAAAGATATACAGTGATTCACTAACTGGAATTATAGACTAGCTAGCTAGGAAAGTTGTCTAGTACTGTAAGATGACCACCACCATGAAGATCTGTGTAGTCTGCAAAAAGGGTAAGGGACAAAAACAGACCTGGATTGCTTGCCATCTCCGTGGTCAGTGGTCCCATGGCATATGCAGGGAATTTAAACCAGTGACCACACTTGACAAACTTGGAGATGTTTTTGGGTTTGCCCAAACGAGATACACCTGTACGAGGAAATGACATCTATACTAAAAGACAAGAACACCAATAAAACATCTTTCTTGAAAGACATGTCAGCATGGTATGACAGCTGGGAATATAAGATGGGTGGTAGGGACCTAAGAAGCAAGATAGCCAACCATCTAGATACCCATCAATTACACAACCCAGGGCAACACGGGTTTAGAGCAGGTCGCTCCTGCCTGTCCCAGCTACTGGACCACTTTGACAAGGTCCTGGATGCTGTAGAGGATAAACAAAATACAGATGTGGTATATACAGACTTTGCAAAAGCTTTCAACAAGTGTGACCATGGTGTAATAGTACACAAAATAAAGGAATAATGTGAAAAGTTGGTAGATGGATCTACAACTTCCTGACAAACAGAACACAAAGAGCAATAGTAAACAGCCAAACAGCCAGGCAGCCAAAGTAAAAAGTTCTGTTCCACAAGGCACAGTACTCGCTCCCATTCTATTCCTCATCCTCATTTCTGACAGACAGAGATGTAAGCCATAGCTCCGTGTCTTCCTTTGCAGATGACACCCAGATCACCATGGCAGTGACCTCCATCGAAGACACTGCGAGACTCCAAGCGGGCATCAACCAAATCTTCGAATGGGCTACTCAAAACAATATGAAGTTCAACGAGGAGAAATTTCAATTAGTCAGATATGGGGAAACTTGAAGAAATTAAAAATGTGTCAGGGTATACAACAAATTCTAACTATACAATAGAGCGGAAGTAATGAAGGACCTGGGAGTGATAATATCAGAGGATCTCGCCTTCAAAGACCACAACAATGTATCTACCTCATCTGCTAGGAAAATGATAAGATGGATAATGAGAACCTTCGAAACTAGGGACGCCAAGCCCATGACGATTCTCTTCAAATTGCTTGTGCTCTCTAGGCTGGAATAGTGCTGTACACTAATGGTCCCTTTCAAGTCTGGCAACACTGCAGACGTGGAAAGTGTACAAAGAACTTTCACAGCACACATTAGTACAATAAGACACCTAAACTACTGGGAATGGTTGAAGGTCCTTAATTTGTATTCCCTCGAATGCAGGTGAGAGAGATACATGATAATATACACTGGAAGGTCCTGGAGGGATTGTTACCAAACCTGCACACGAAAATCACTCCCTATGAAAGCAAAAGACTCGGCAGGAGATGCAACATTCCCCCAATGAAAAGCAAGGGCGCCACGAGTACACTGAGAGAACACAATAAGTGTCCGCGGCCCAAGACTATTCAACTGCCTCCCAGCATACATAAGGGGGATTACCAATAGACCCCTGGCTGTCTTCAAGAAGGCACTGGACAGGTACCTAAAGTCAATACCTGACCAACCGGGCTGTGGTTCGTGAGTCAGCTTGGGTGCGGCCAGCAGTAACAGCCTGGTTAATCAGACCCTGATCCACCATGAGGCCTTTTCTCAGACCGGGCCACGGGGGCACTGACCCCTGAAACCCTCTCCAGGTAAACTCCAGGTAATTCAACTTCAATAGCATACATACAATGGGATCAAATTAACCACATCTTAGACTGAACAGCTGGAATATCCTAAACAACACAAATTTGAACCTTTGCTTACAAAGAATTAACTGTGCCACTTGAGGTAGGCTCAGGGCATATTTCCCTAAGAAAAAAGAAGGGAAGATGTAAATTAGAGATGCTCCCTCTACAGGCAAATGCAAAGAATCACAGAGCTGCTGAAAGATGCCAGTGTATCTGAAATATGGGAGGAGGAACTGACCAGAGAAACAGAAAATAGGAAACCTAAACACAGGAAGAACTTAAAGTCATAAATGAAATTTAAAAAAAATATATATTTATTTTCCTATGGCAAATCTAGGACAAAAACCCACATCCAGTATTGGGCCCCTGTTTTAAATGAGATGGGACTTACATAGATGACAGCAAAGAACTAAGTGAGATACTGAAATCCCAATACGACTCAGCATTTAGTAAGGCGCTAATCAGAATAAGGGACTACAATTTAAAATAATTTTTTATGACCAAAACTCAAAATTTGGTTAATTCAAGAACTTCTGATAGCCTAACACCATAGACTTTGAAAAAGCAATAAATGACATGCCCATGCTAAAATTCGAAAAATGCACACAGTTAACATAATTTTCTTTAAATAAGGAGGATTTTTTTCACATAAGTACCATCTATCCACTGTTCTAATTGGATATTTTTAAGATATTTCATCATTGCTTGCTTAACTTAAACCCTAGCACAAACAAAGGTATTTGATTTACAATATTAATATATAAAGTAAAAGGACACAAGTGTAACTAATGTGACATTTTTATTGTGGTAACGTTTCGCTCTCCAGGAGCTTTATCAAGCCGTTATAAACAGTACATGGACACGGCTTGATAACAGCTTGTAACGGCTTGATAAAGCTCCTGGAGAGCGAAACGTTGCCACAATGAAAATGTCACATTAGTTGCACTTGTGTCCTTTTACTTTACATATTGTCAGTAATTCTACCAACTTTATTACAATATTAATACACTATAAACAAATATACATTTTTTATTATTTACCAACTAATTCTCTGAAGATTTCATATGCAATATAATAATGGGTTTATGAATCAATGCAAATTAAAGAAATAAGTAATCACAAGCCACAATAACATTCCTTCGACACTCTTAATAGTTCTTATCATGGTATTCCTGAACACGGTTACGGCTGCGATAGCTGCGTGATCCTGGTCTTCGAGAAGCATTTCTTTCACTACTTGTGGCGTAAGCACCAAGACGTGCCCGAACAGCAATGATGAAAGATTCAATATCAGATTCGTTGGTGCCCCGGCGGATCCTGAAGAAGCCTCTCTCTCCCCAGTCACTGCCCCAGGAGTTAGCCACCAGCTATTGAACAAATAGTAGTAGTGACCAATAACTTTTTTTTATATAGCACATTCCGCTTTTAAAATGCATGGAAAATCTATCATAAAATACAGTTCTACAATACAGTGGAACCTCAAATATCAAACTTTCTTCAGTCCAGAAGGCTGTTCGAGTGCCACTACTGAACGAATTTATTCCCATCAGGAATAATGTAAATTAGATTAGACCATTTAAGACCCTCAAAAATACACTTATAAAAGCACTTACAAAAATACACTTACATAATTGGTCGAGTTGGGAGCAGTTCGATTTTTGAGGGTCCACTGTACCTTGATTTCTCATTTTGTATCAAGTTTGCATATGTATCAGTGTTTAGATAGGCATGTCTTATATTTATAACAACATTAATGTTTCATTATTAAAATCAAAACAAAGCACTAAACCTACTAGGGTCATACAGCAGTGCAGGGAAGAGGGTTTTTCTAGATCAAGAAGCAGTCAGGGTGAGGAGGAGAACAGAGGTAGAAATATAAGAGGATTGTGAAGAGTGTTAAAGGAAGTATCATCAAAATTTGTGTAGTGAATCAGTTGCTTTCAAAAAGTCAATGATGGAGTCTGAGTCAAAGGCAGGTCTGTCAGCAAAGAGGGAAGATAAAGTAAGGGTGTTAGAGCAGTGACGGCATTGGAGGTAAATTCTGCCTGCCTGTTGATAGACCTTAGATTCCAATAAAACATGGCCAACCAAAATTGGAACCTGATAATTCTCACGGAGTGGAACAGGGTGCCTCTCCATGAGATACCCATGAGTAAGCCGAGCGTGCCTGATGACAAGATCGATGACAAGAAGATGGCCAGAAACCTAAACCTGGTTTGAGAGAATGTATTTTGTTACGTGTTATATCAGACCAATGTTGTTGCCAACGGTTGCAAAGATGGTTAGAGATTACAGCAAAATAGTCTGTGAATGGAACACCTCTATGAAACTAGCAGGGCATGTAATGCTGATTACGCAGCAGTGTCTGCCTGTTCATTGCTCTGAACGTCAACATGACCACGGGCCCAACAGAAAATATCTTTATTTTTGCTGGAAATGCGGCATAACCAAAATTATGTACAAAGAACCAGGGAATGAGGTGAAGACAGGCACAGATGCAATACAAATAATTGCCACGGGAATTGCAAACACTTCAGCTGTAAAAATGCTAGCCGAGCCTAATAAATGCCCTTGCACTATGCTGTACGGAAACACTGCTGCAAACCCGACACTGTCAGAAGATTTAGAACCACCAGTGTACACTGCGTCAGCATGAGAATGAGACCGGAAGTGATTAAGAACAAGAGAGCAAGAAGTAACTGTAGGTATTTGGGCTTTTGCGCATGGCAATGGGAAGAACAGACACAAACTGTGGGAACCTCCGAAGGGGGAAGGGAAAAGTTAGATGCTAGATGAACATATAAAGGGAGTAACTGAAGAGAAGACAAGAGTGAATGTAAACGAAGAGAAAAGGAATGGAGTAAACAGGGGCGACGCACAAACAATGGACCTCTACCAATGTCCATTACTATCTTGTAGTTGTATATGGAAGGACTGCGAGGCAATGAGCCTCACAGCAATCGTTCAAGGATGGAATATTTGTCTCTGCATATAGGCTCTTAACAGGTGAGGAGCGAAATGGACCTAGACATAAATGTAATCCCTGGAGATGGATGGGATCAAGTTTAGAAAGAGTTGCAGGAGAAGCCTCTGAATATATCTGGACGCCATAATCTAGTTTCGATAAAATTAGGGCTGAATGCAGATGAAGGAGAGTGCGACGATCAGCCCCTATGAAAGATGACCGAGGGTTTTAAGGAGGTTCAGCTGGCTATAACAAGTTGCTTTCAGGGAGGTAATGCGAGGTTCCCAGGATAATCGGCTGTCAAACAGACGGCCAAGAAACCTGACTATCATGTTCAAGGATACATAAGCCATACAAGTACAATGAGTACCAAGGATGACAGAACGTCTGGTGAAAGTAATTTGATGTGTTTTAGTACCAGAAAATTTAAATCAACGAGTAGTGGTTCAATTGGAAATGCAGTTGACAGCATTCTGGAGAGAAACTGCAATGAGCCGACAGTCAGTGCCTGCACAAACTATAGTGAAGTCATCAGCAGAGTGATGATCAGATATTAAATGGAAGATGAAGATCATTTATAGCAAGGAGAGGAAGTGTGGTGCTAAGGACACATCCCTGGGGGACACCTTCAGCTTGGACAAAGTCCAGGGAAAGCATATTATTAACCCAAACACAGAAATGTCTCTCAGATAAGAAGTTCTTAAGGAAAAATGGTAGACTGCCTCGGAAGCCTAAGGAATGAGCTTGGGCCAAGATGTTATATCTCCAAATAATGTCATATGTCTTCTCAAGATCAAAAAAGATGGCAATTACTGAGTGGCTACTGGCAAAGGCATTACGAACATACATATCTAAACAGAGTAAGGGGTCAATAGTAGAATGGCCCTTATGAAAGCCATATCGACTAGTAGAGAGACTACTGTGTGCCTCTAAATACCACATCAAACGTCCATTTACCAGACTTTCCATCACCTAGCAAACTTCACTGGTAAGAGCAATGGGACAATAGTGGGAGGCATCATTTCCCAAAGCAATTGTAATAATTTCATATTGTAAGTCGTTTCTAAATTTTTCCATTGTAATATTTCCATATTGTAAATTAATTCAAATTGTACTATTGTAATTTTTATAAACTAATTTTAAAACTGTAATTACTGTACTCACTGTAGCTCATCAATGTCCATATAATTATCTGTATTGCTTTACTTAAGTTAATACTGAGTTTGCCTGAAATGCTCTGTATAGAAAGGGGCTTTTGGCATGTACACCCAACCATTATATATATTCCTTTGTACAACTATGTATCATGTCAAAATAAATTTCTTATTCTTAAAGTACCTGGTTTACAAAGGGGTAGAACAATGGCAGATTTCCACAGCTGGGGAAGAACTCCTTGCGACCAAATAAGATTAAACAGATGTAAGAGGACAGCAAGGGCTAACATAAATGCTGGAACATACGAATATGAATACTGTCAGGTCCAGCTGTCAATTACTGGCAAGCAGAAAGTGCTGGCTCTAGTTTTAGAAGTGTAAAAGGCACATTATAAGACCTTTCTCTGCTAGAGGAAAAGTCTAAGCGCCTCAAACTCTCTGGCAGACTCGGAGGAAAGAAACAAGAGGCATAGGTGGAGCCCCTGAGAGATACGGACAAAATAATTACCAATTTCAGCGGCAACTTCAAGAGGGTTTGCTATAGTAACACCAGCAACCTGAAGAACAGAGCACTCATAGAGGAAGCCAAAGTGATGGTAGAAACATAATCCTGCCGACTAGCGTGTTTAGCTTCACAGATGACACGGCAGGTGACCATTCTCATCCACTTAAAATCAAGGAGTTACTCTGTGGTCCTACTATAATATCTGCCTCATGCAGCGCATTTCAAACATACTGCATGAGCACAAGCAGAACACCAAGGCATGCATTTCTGAGAATGCCTGCCTGAGGATTGGGCATGTGAATGTGAAGCCGCAATTAAAACTGAGGTCGAAAATAGGTGTAACAGCTCATCGATAGAAGATATACAGTCCTCACTAAAAGCAGTTTCACATGAGAACAAGTCCCAATTTGCTTGTTTAAATTGCCAACAAGGACTTTGAGGAGGTGAAGAATACGAAAGGGAAGTAAGGAGAATAGGAAAATGATCACTGTCATGTAAATCTGGGAGTACAGACTGGGTAAAGTCTAGTGCAGTTGATGAAGAGCAAACTGAGAGATCGATACAAGAGAGATTGAGTGCAAGGGTCAAAATGAGTGGGAGCACCTGCATTTCAAACATGGAGGGGAAGAGAAGTGAGAAGAGCCTCTAATTGAATGCCACACGAGTCACAGTGAGAACCCCCCCCCCCTTCCCCGAGGAAATGGTGAGCATTAAAATCACCTAATAAAAGAAGTGGTTACAGTAATGAAGAAACCAGAAACTCAGCCCCTGTGATAGATAATGCCCAAGAAGGAGGGAGATACAAAGAACAGACCATATACCACTTATTAAAGTAGATGCGCACTGTAGTGTAATGCAATGAAGTATGAACAAAGATCTGATGGTATGGTGTACCAATGTGTACAAAATGTGCACTTTCATTAAAGGTTCCAACGAGAAAAGGATCAGATGAATGTAATAAAACATTGCCCAAGACAGGATGGATAACAGTGGAGTGTAATTTGGGTTCTTGTAAACACAAACGGGAGAAAACTGGGAGAGCAATACCTGAAGCACACCCCAATTACCTCTGAGGCCTCGGATATTCAACTGTACATAAGCCATGATTTGTGAAGAGAAGGATACACAAAATATGAAGCAGTAGGTATCTATGGACAAGAAGGGTTATTAAAGTCCACATGTGGAAACAGCAGAAAACGAATAAGCAGCAAAGGATTGGAATGCTGCGAAGAACAGAGTTGTGCAGATGGAGTAGAAGAGTGAAGAGGAGCAATGGAAGGTGGATCAGTGTCCATCAATGGCTTAGCCTCCTTAATATATTAGGATATAGCGGATATATCGGAGATAGAAGGGAGAGGGTGAGTAAAGATCGGGGCGACGATAGAAGTTACCAAAGAACCAGGGAAGGGACAGGAGAGGAAGAAACTTGGGAGGAGACAAGAAAGAGGGGCACTGTACAAGGGAAAGGATGAACCTCCACACTCATAACACAGCTAGTAAGAGGTAAAGAACTAGGTACAGAGACTGGAAAGAAAAAATGCCCAGAAAGGATTGGTGAAGGAGAGTTTAAAGGAGATTTTATACTTTGGGGATGCTCTGGAAGTAGAGGAGCGAAAGGAAGGTGCTGCTGTGCGAGGTATTATACACAAACATGCGAGTGAGATGAAGATTCGAGAGCAGTATGAGGTGATGAGGTAGGGACCTTGGAGTCCAGGACTGCAAGAGTTAGATACACATGTAACTGTGGAATGTGTGACCACAGGGAAAACTGCAAGAGGTGGGACCCCAAAGGCTGGAAGCCTCTTAGTAACTCTAGAATAAGAAATATGGGGAAGTCTCCCTTGGAGGCATAGATAAGAGAACGCCATGGCACAAGTAAAGCCTTCTCTCTGAGACAGCGGATTTTTCTTTAATTTAAGTAAACTTGGCAACGACGAGAATAAGATGGGCGAGCTTCATTACAATTAAAGCAAGAGGGAGGTAGACTACAAGATGTATTGGTATGGTGAATGGCACCAGAGTCTGGACATTCTGTAATTGACCTGCAATATTTTGCTGGATGGTCAAAACACCAGCAATTTCTACACTGTTGTGGTGTAGAGATCAACTTTCGGACTTGTAGGCCAGTGTCCTGCAATGTAAACCGAGGACAGAAACTCACGGCAGTCAAAAATTAAGCGAGCTACATTACAGGGGAAGCGTCTCTGCCAGAGGGAAGGGAGGTCTTGGAGCTCCAGAATGCCATCACCACATCTGGAAATCACACTGAACAATAGTATGAGGTAGAATGACAGTACCACTACAAGAACTGAGAGAAACATGTTTTTGAATTATTACAAAATAGCATCAGTGGTGATAAGGAGAGAAAGCTTGTGAGCTTGGCCAGCATTTTGTACCGTGACAATGCGTGCACCACTCTCGAGAGCATGTAATGAAATATTTTGACCAACATGGCACAGGAGCACCTTGCTGATACTATGATCAAAAAGATAGTCAGTGGAAGATGTCAGTTGCATAGTGAAAAACTTGGTCCAATAGAGTGATAGGCATTCGAAGCAGTGTCATAAGAGAAAGGTTGTGATTGTTTAGCTGCGGGACCAGAGGTGGTCTGTTTTGAGGCAGGGACCTAAATTACTGGGAATGGTTGAAGGTCCTTGATCTGTATTCCCTTGAATGCAGGCGAGAGATACATAATATACACCTGGAAGGTCCTGGAGGGTCTGGCACTAAACCTGCACATGAAATCACTCCCTATGAAAGCAAAAGACTCACCAGGAGATGCAACATTCCCCCAATGAAAAGCAGAGGCACCACAAGTACACTGAGAGACAACACAATAAGACTGTTCAATTGCCTCCCAGCATACATAAGGGGGATTACCAATAGACCCCTGGCTGTCTTCAAGAAGGCACTGGACAGGCACATAAAGTCAGTACCTGACCAACTGGGCTGTGGCTCGTATGTCAGCTTGCGTGTGGCCAGCAGTAACAGCCAGGTTGATCAGACCCTGATCCACCACGAGGCCTGGTCTCAGACTGGGCCGCGGGGGCATTGCCCCTCGAAACCCTCTCCAGGTAAACTCCAGGCATTATGGGGAGAAGTCGGAAGCATGGTCAGATGTGTCAAACAAGTCAGGCTGAGCCTTGGTATCAGGAGCGTGTGACAAAATGTCACCTGCAGAAGATACAGGGGCATTAGAAAGGTCCAAAGGATAGTCCAGTAACACGGCAGGGTCATAAGAGGGTGCTGCTGCAGAAAGGGGCCCAGGAGGAGCAGTTTCAAGGAGTTTACCTGGAGTTTACCTGGAGAGTTCCGGGGGTCAACGCCCCCGCGGCCCGGACTGTGACCAGGCCTCCTGGTGGATCAGAGCCTGATCAACCAGGCTGTTACTGCTGGCTGCACGCAATCTAACGTATGAGCCACAGCCCGGCTGGTCAGGTACCGACTTTAGGTGCTTGTCCAGTGCCAGCTTGAAGACTGCCAGGGGTCTATTGGTAATCCCCCTTATGTATGCTGGGGGGCAGTTGAACAGTCTCGGGCCCCTGACACTTATTGTATTGTCTCTTAACGTGCTAGTGACACCCCTGCTTTTCATTGTGGGGATGCTGCATTGTCTGCCAAGTCTTTTGCTTTCATTGCGAGTGATTTTCGTGTGCAAGTTCGGTACTAGTCCCTCTAGGATTTTCCAGGTGGATTTGGGACTCCATGATTGGGTCTCTCTTTTCTTTCTGTTTTCCAGAAAAAAAAGAAGCAAAAAGGGGAACATGGAGGGGTAGCTTCTAAGAGGAATGAAGGGGCCATAAATCCCCCTCCACACCCAAGAGGACCTCAGCACAGTCAGTAGTGTAGATGTGGCATGAAACCCATACAATACCCTACCTTTCATGCCAGTAAACCAGCAATCCAGGATAGCAACCTCACATCAACCGAGCCACCTCGGTGGACAACAGAGAGGGTGGTTGGATATCTGTGACAAAGCATAACTCCTTTGGCCACCACCTCCTGGAATTCAACAGGCAGCCTCCAAAGATACATCCATCACCTGAAAGATACTCAAAGCCTGCCCCCAGTAGACCAGAGGGGGATCAGGATCTCCAGATGATCCAGATTCCATGGCAAACTACACTACCACCAAGGACCTCAATGGAATGGGATGGACCAAGGTACCCTTTCCCCCAATCTAGTAACTAGAATGCTTGAGGGAAATGAGAGGGATGGGGGGAGGAGGAGGAATGGGAAAGGAGGGATGGGGAGGATGGGACAGGGAAGGTGAGGACTGGGGGGTAATTAGGTTCGGTTGGAGGAAGATGACTGAAGGGTCTAATTCTTCAGCTTCGCCTCAGCAAGGAGCCCCCCTTGAAGAGGATTAACATTTCATCATTAAGAATATCCTTACCCAGTATTTGACAGGAACAGATCCTAGAGAATTGTCTTCTCCCCATCCAATGATCCTGACAGAGTGCATTGCTGTCTCCTGCCCTGCCAGTCCAGTGAAGGAGTATACACCACTCTCATAGATGAACAGGTCGCTGTGTACTGTCATCATTGCTGTAGACAAGAAAGAAAACTAGTGGTATTAATTCAAGGATTATGTAGAGTAAAATAAAGGTTGGATGTGAAAAGTGGGTTATAGTAAGTGTATATGCACCTGGAGAAGAGAGAAGTGTAGAGGAGAGAGAGAGATTTTGGGAAATGTTGAGTGAATGCGTGGGGAGTTTTGAACCAAGTGTGAGTACTTGTTTACCTGGAGTTTACCTGGAGAGAGTTCCGGGGGTCAACGCCCCCGCGGCCCGGTCTGTGACCAGGCCTCCTGGTGGATCAGAGCCTGATCAACCAAGTTGTTGCTACTGGCTGCATGCAAACCAACGTACGAGCCACAGCCCGGCTGATCAGGAACTGACTTTAGGTGCTTGTCCAGTGCCAGCTTGAAGACTGCCAGGGGTCTGTTGGTAATCCCCCTTATGTGTGCTGGGAGGCAGTTGAACAGTCTCGGGCCCCTGACACTTATTGTATGGTCTCTTAACGTGCTAGTGACACCCCTGCTTTTCATTGGGGGATGGTGCATCATCTGCTAAGTCTTTTGCTTTTGTAGTGAGTGATTTTCGTGTGCAAGTTCGGTACTAGTCCCTCTAGGATTTTCCAGGTGTATATAATCATGTATCTCTCCCTCCTGTGTTCCAGGGAATACAGGTTTAGGAACCTCAAGCGCTCCCAGTAATTGAGGTGTTTTATCTCCGTTATGCGCGCCGTGAAAGTTCTCTGTACATTTTCTAGGTCGGCAATTTCACCTGCCTTGAAAGGTGCTGTTAGTGTGCAGCAATATTCCAGCCTAGATAGAACAAGTGACCTGAAGAGTGTCATCATGGGCTTGGCCTCCCTAGTTTTGAAGGTTCTCATTATCCATCCTGTCATTTTTCTAGCAGATGCGATTGATACAATGTTATGGTCCTTGAAGGTGAGATCCTCCGACATGATCACTCCCAGGTCTTTGACGTTGGTGTTTCGCTCTATTTTGTGGCCAGAATTTGTTTTTGTACTCTGATGAAGATTTAATTTCCTCATGTTTACCGTATCTGAGTAATTGAAATTTCTCATCGTTGAACTTCATATTGTTTTCTGCAGCCCACTGAAAGATTTGGTTGATGTCCGCCTGGAGCCTTGCAGTGTCTGCAATGGAAGACACTGTCATGCAGATTCGGGTGTCATCTGCAAAGGAAGACACGGTGCTGTGGCTGACATCCTTGTCTATGTCGGATATGAGGCTGAGGAACAAGATGGGAGCGAGTACTGTGCCTTGTGGAACAGAGCTTTTCACCGTAGCTGCCTTGGACTTTACTCTGTTGACGACTACTCTCTGTGTTCTGTTAGTGAGGAAATTATAGATCCATCGACCGACTTTTCCTGTTATTCCTTTAGCACGCATTTTGTGCGCTATTACGCCATGGTCACACTTGTCGAAGGCTTTTGCAAAGTCTGTATATATTACATCTGCATTCTTTTTGTCTTCTAGTGCATTTAGGACCTTGTCGTAGTGATCCAATAGTTGAGACAGACAGGAGCGACCTGTTCTAAACCCATGTTGCCCTGGGTTGTGTAACTGATGGGTTTCTAGATGGGTGGTGATCTTGCTTCTTAGGACCCTTTCAAAGATTTTATGATATGGGATGTTAGTGCTATTGGTCTGTAGTTCTTTGCTGTTGCTTTACTGCCCCCTTTGTGGAGTGGGGCTATGTCCGTTGTTTTTAGTAACTGTGGGACGACCCCCGTGTCCATGCTCCTTCTCCATAGGATGGAAAAGGCTCGTGATAGGGCTTCTTGCAGTTCTTGATGAACACGGAGTTCCATGAGTCTGGCCCTGGGGCAGAGTGCATGGGCATGTCATTTATCGCCTGTTCGAGTCATTTGGCGTCAGGATAACATCGGATAGGCTTGTGTTAATCAAATTTTGTGGCTCTCTCATAAAAAATTCATTTTGATCTTCGACTCTCAGTCTGGTTAGCGGCTTGCTAAAAACTGAGTCATATTGGGACTTGAGTAGCTCACTCATTTCCTTGCTGTCATCTGTGTAGGACCCATCTTGTTTAAGTAGGGGCCCAATACTGGACGTTGTTCTCGATTTTGATTTGGCATAGGAGAAGAAATACTTTGGGTTTCTTTCGATTTCATTTATGGCTTTTAGTTCTTCCCGCGATTCCTGACTCCTAAAGGATTCTTTTAGCTTAAGTTCGATGCTTGCTATTTCTCTGACCAGTGTCTCCCTACGCATTTCAGATATATTGACCTCTTTTAGCCGCTCTGTTATTCTTTTCCGTCGCCTGTAAAGGGAGCGCCTGTCTCTTTCTATTTTACATCTACTCCTCCTTTTTCTTAGAGGAATAAGCCTTGTGCATACATCGAGTGCCACCGAGTTAATCTGTTCTAGGCATAAGTTGAGGTCTGTGTTGCTTAGTATATCTTCCCAGCTTATATCGGTTAGGACTTGGTTTACTTGGTCCCACTTTATGTTTTTGTTATTGAAGTTGAATTTGGTGAATGCTCCCTCGTGACTAGTCTCATTATGTCGGTCTGGGGCTCCACGCATACATGTCTGAACCTCAATTATGTTGTGATCTGAGTACATTGTTTTTGATATGGTGACATTTCTTATCAGATCATCATTGTTAGTGAAGATGAGGTCTAGTGTATTCTCCAGTCTAGTAGGCTCTATTATTTACTGGTTTAAATTGAATTTTGTGCAGAGATTTAAAAGCTCGTGTGAGTGTGAGTTTTCATCAGAGCTGCCTCCTGGTGTTATTACTGCAACAATATTATTTGCTATATTCCTCCATTTTAGGTGCCTTAAGTTGAAATCCCCCAGGAGCAAGATGTTGGGTGCAGGAGCTGGAAGATTTTCCAGACAGTGGTCAATTTTTAACAGCTGTTCCTGGAATTGCTGGGATGTTGCATCCGGAGGCTTGTAGACTACCACAATGACTACCACAAATGAACATGGCTGACTCCCCTTCCAACTCCACTCCCTTCAAAGGATTCACCCATGATTACTCAGGTATGATTATTCCTGACAATATCAAGGACTACATCGTTGCTCTAGAAAACGAAATCAAAGATATCAAAGCAACACTCGAGCGACGAGAATCCAAGATAACCAACCTCGAGAACAAGATCCAAAACCTTGAAGAGAAGATTACATCGGGAAGTGTTGACACAGAAAATACTCTGAAAGCAGCTATAGCCAGTCACACCGAACAAATAACTACAATAAATATGAAGGTTGCAGAAGCAATCAAGGACTGGAATCAGAACATGCACACTCGACTAAATGAATACCTTGATTTCCAAGACGACAAAACTGAACAAGATAAGTTGTCTGATGCAGTTATAATAAACAGTCCACACATTCCAAGTGACATAACACAAGCTCAGTGCAAAGAAACTGCTGTCAGGATAATACAGGACCATGTACAAGTCATCGTGCAAAACAATGAAATCAAAGAAACACGTTTGTTAGGAAAACCAGGAAGTAAACACAGTATAATGATCAGACTTCATTCATACGATAAAAGAAAGGACCTAATTAAATCAGCAATTACAATGAAAAATGGAGTGTACATAAATGAGTGTCTAACAAGAAAACGTCAAAACCTTCTGTTCAGGCTGAGAAAACTTAAACAGGAAAACAAAATACATCAGTGTTTCACGCGAGATGGGAAAATACTAGTAAGGAAAACATCAACAGGACAACAATATACAGTGGACCGCCGGTTAACGATATTTTTTCACTCCGTAAGTATGTTCAGGTGCCAGTACTGACCGAATTTATTCCCATAAGGAATATTGTGAAGTAGATTAATCCATTTCAGACCCCCAAACATACACGTACAAACGCACTTACATAAATACACTTACATAATTGGTCGCATTCGGAGGTAATCGTTATGCGGGGGTCCACTGTACTATCTCAAACGAACACGATTTCTCTACCTTCCTTAGAAAAGCTGTCATTTCTGTAACAGATTAGATAAGTGCCCTTAATACATATATACGTGTGGTGCATATAGTGTACCTTACTATTATATTGTGCATTATTATTTTTATTATTTTTTTCATCACAAGCTAATGCTAACTACCTCCAATACGTTTTTACTTCTTTCTTACTGCTATTAATTGCTCATAATTTTATGTTACAAGTCAAATCTTACTCCAAATTAATATTATTCATTGTTCTTACCTGTCCATTTAATTTGTTTACCACTACTTGTTTTTTTAGTCACTTTTTATTGTGTGTGCAATTAGTGTATATTCCAATTCTTTTTTGCAAGTACCAAAACTATCTTTTGCTAGCTAGTACCAACTACCTCATTTTTTTTTTTACTTTTTATTGTGCAATAAACTGCTCAACTTATTTAATATTACAAATCAGATCTTACTCCTAAACCAATATTATTTCATAGTGACTATCTGTCCATTTAACTTGTTTACCATTACTTAATTGTAGTCCCTTATATATTTTTTTTTTCCTTTATTTTAGCTTTATATAAACTACCTAGCTCATATATTCACAATTGTTAAAAGTAATCAAGGTGCTATTCTCAGTGCTAAAGTTAATAAGTTCACTATTTTGCCATTATACTCCATAGCTCATTTATTTGATTACCACTTTATTGTTCACCACAACTTATATTAGTCCCTTTTATATTATAATTTTATATTATAATTCTAACTTTAAAGAATTACCTTTAAAGTACTACCTACTATCATATTCCCAAGCTCCATTATTTGATCATCACTTTATTTGTTCACCACAAATTGTTTTAGTCCCTTTTATATTGTCTCCTTTATTTTAGCTTTAAAAAACTACCTTAGCTCATTATTTTTACATTTGTTAAATAATTCAGGTGCTATTTTTTTTTTAGCTTTAGAATATTTACTTTATTTTTTACTTAATTCTAACTATAGATTCACTACAAATCTTATGATTACAAGCATTGATCCTGATACCAACCTCTTATTTAATGACTTAAATGATTCAAACAGTTACTGTAATTACT